GTTTAAAAACTGTTGTTCTGTTTCGGAACACTCTTCTTTTTTTTTTTTTTTCTTCTGTTGTTTCAAAACTGTTGTTCTGTTTTGGAACACACTTCTGTTGTTTCAAAACGGTTGGTCTGTTTCGGAACACTCTTCTTCTTCTGTTGTTTCAAAACTGTTGTTCTGTTTCGGAACACTCTTCTTTTTTTTTTTTTTTTTTCTTCTGTTGTTTCAAAACGGTTGGTCTGTTCAGGAACACTCTTCTTCTGCTGTTGTTTCAAAACGGTTGTTATGTTTCGGAACACTCTTCTTCTTCTGTTGTTTCAAAACGGTTGTTATGTTTCGGAACACTCTTCTTCTTCTGTTGTTTCAAAACGGTTGTTATGTTTCGGAACACTCTTCTTCTGTTGTTTCAAAACGGTTGTTATGTTTCGGAACACTCTTCTTCTTCTGTTGTTTCAAAACGGTTGTTATGTTTCGGAACACTCTTCTTCTGTTGTTTCAAAACGGTTGTTATGTTTCGGAACACTTTTCTTCTTCTGTTGTTTCAAAATGGTTGTTATGTTTCGGAACACTCTTCTTCTTCTGTTGTTTCAAAACGGTTTTTATGTTTCGGAACACTCTTCTTCTTCTGTTGTTTAAAAACTGTTGTTCTGTTTCGGAACACTCTTCTTTTTTTTTTTTTTGTCTTCTGTTGTTTCAAAACTGTTGTTCTGTTTTGGAACACACTTCTTCTGTTGTTTCAAAACGGTTGGTCTGTTTCGGAACACTCTTCTTCTTCTGTTGTTTCAAAACTGTTGTTCTGTTTCGGAACACTCTTCTTTTTTTTTTTTTTTTTTCTTGTTTCAAAACGGTTGGTCTGTTCAGGAACACTCTTCTTCTGCTGTTGTTTCAAAACGGTTGTGATGTTTTGGAACACTCTTCTTCTGTTATTTCAAAACGGTTTTTCTGTTTCGGAACACTCTTCTTCTTCTGTTGTTTCAAAACGGTTGTTCTGTTTCGGAACACTCTTCTTCTTCTGTTGTTTCAAAACTGTTGTTTTGTTTCGGAACAGTCTTCTCCTTCTGTTGTTTCAAAAACATTTGTTCTGTTTCGAAACACTCTTCTTCTTCTGTTGTTTCGAAACGGTTGTTTTGTTTCGGAACACTCTTCTTCTGTTGTTTCAAAATGGTTGTTATGTTTCGGAACACTCTTCTTCTTCTGTTGTTTCAAAGCGGTTGTTATGTTTCGGAACACTCTTCTTCTTCTGTTGTTTCAAAACGGTTGTTATGTTTCGGAACACTCTTCTTCTTCTGTTGTTTCAAAATGGTTGTTATGTTTCGGAACACTCTTCTTCTGTTGTTTCAAAATGGTTGTTATGTTTCGGAACACTCTTCTTCTGCTGTTGTTTCAAAACGGTTGTTCTGTTTCGAAACACTTCTTCTTCTGTTGTTTCAAAACTGTTGTTCTGTTTCGGAACACTCTTCTTCTGTTGTTTAAAAAAGATTTTTCTGTTTCGGAACACTCTTTTTCTGTTGTTTCAAAACGGTTGTTATTTTTTGGAACAATCTTCTTCTTCTGTTGTTTCAAAACGGTTGTTCAGTTTTGGAACACTCTTCTTCTTCTGTTGTTTCAAAATGGTTGTTATGTTTCGGAACACTCTTCTTCTGTTGTTTCAAAACGGTTGTTATGTTTCGGAACACTCTTCTTCTGTTGTTTCAAAACGGTTGTTTAGTTTCGGAACACTCTTCTTCTTCTGTTGTTTCAAAACGGTTGTTATGTTTCGGAACACTCTTCTGTTGTTTCAAAACGGTTGTTATGTTTCGGAACACTCTTCTTCTGTTGTTTCAAAACGGTTGTTATGTTTCGGAACACTCTTCTTCTGTTGTTTCAAAACGGTTGCTCTGTTTCGGAACACTCTTCTGTTGTTTCAAAACGGTTGTTCTGTTTCGGAACACTCATCTTCTGTTGTTTCAAAACGGTTGTTCTGTTTCGGAACACTCTTCTTCTTCTGTTGTTTCAAAACTGTTGTTCTGTTTCGGAACACTCTTCTTCTGTTGTTTCAAAACGGTTGTTATGTTTTGGAACACTCTTCTTCTGTTGTTTCAAAACGGTTGTTCTGTTTCGGAACACTCTTCTTCTTCTGTTGTTTCAAAACGGTTGTTCTGTTTCGGAACACTCTTCTTCTTCTGTTGTTTCAAAATGGTTGTTATGTTTCGGAACACTCTTCTTCTGCTGTTGTTTCAAAACGGTTGTTATGTTTCGGAACACTCTTCTTCTTCTGTTGTTTTAAAACGGTTGTTATGTTTCGGAACACTCTTCTTCTTCTGTTGTTTCAAAACGGTTGTTATGTTTCGGAACACTCTTCTTCTTCTGTTGTTTCAAAATGGTTATGTTTCGGAACACTCTTCTTTTGTTGTTTCAAAACGGTTGTTATGTTTCGGAACACTCTTCTTCTTCTGTTGTTTCAAAACGGTTGTTATGTTTCGGAACACTCTTCTTTTGTTGTTTCAAAACGGTTGTTATGTTTCGGAACACTCTTCTTCTGCTGTTGTTTAAAAAAGATTTTTCTGTTTTGGAACACTCTTCTTCTGTTGTTTCAAAACGGTTGTTATGTTTCGGAACACTCTTCTTCTTCTGTTGTTTCAAAACGGTTGTTATGTTTTGGAACACTCTTCTTCTTCTGTTGTTTCAAAACGGTTGTTATGTTTCGGAACACTCTTCTTCTGTTGTTTCAAAACGGTTGTTATGTTTCGGAACACTCTTCTTCTGTTGTTTCAAAACGGTTGTTATGTTTCGGAACACTCTTCTTCTTCTGTTGTTTCAAAACGGTTGTTATGTTTTGGAACACTCTTCTTCTGTTGTTTCAAAACGGTTGTTATGTTTCGGAACACTCTTCTTCTTCTGTTGTTTCAAAACGGTTGTTATGTTTTGGAACACTCTTCTTCTTCTGTTGTTTCAAAACGGTTGTTATGTTTCGGAACACTCTTCTTCTGTTGTTTCAAAACGGTTGTTATGTTTCGGAACACTCTTCTTCTGCTGTTCTTTAAAAAAGATTTTTCTGTTTTGGAACACTCTTCTTCTGTTTCAAAACGGTTGTTATGTTTCGGAACACTCTTCTTCTGCTGTTGTTTAAAAAAGATTTTTCTGTTTTGGAACACTCTTCTTCTGTTGTTTCAAAAACATTTGTTCTGTTTCGAAACACTCTTCTTCTTCTGTTGTTTCGAAACGGTTGATCTGTTCCAGAACACTCTTTTTCTTCTGTTGTTTCGAAACGGTTGTTCTGTTTCGGAACACTCTTCTTCTTCTGTTGTTTCAAAAAGGTTGTTCTGTTTTGGAACAGTCTTCTTCTGTTTTAAAACGGTTGTTCTGTTTCGGAACGCTCTTCTTCTGTTGTTTCTTAATGGTTCTTTTGTTTCGGAACGTTCTTCTTCTGTTGTTTCTTAATGGATCTTTTGTTTCTGATCACTCTTCTTCTGTTGCTTTGAAACGGTTGTTCTGTTCCGGAACACACTTTTTCTTCTGTTTTTTTTTAAACGTTTGTTCTTTCTGTATCTTTGTGTCTTTCTATATCTGTGTCTTTCTATATCCGTGTCTTTCTGTGTCTTTCTATATCTGTGTCTTTCTGTAACCTGACTCCGCCAGATGGATTTGCTCCACATATCCATCTGGAAACCTTCCGTTGAAGTAATTTTAGGAAGTGGCGAAAATACTGGTTAGCTGATTGGCCTATGTTGGTGATAGACGGGCCAAATGAACCAATCAGATCAACGAAGCATATGACGTACTAACAGAGCAACGATGAAAACACAACCACAAGCCAATTGATAGATCAAACTCTTGCCGAAACCAGTTGGGAGAAGAGCAAAAACATCTTTTCCTCTGAGAAAAGCCTCCAGAGCAGTGTTTTGCTCTTCTTACAGTGAAGAAATACTCTGTAATTTCGATAAAACTTGCTTGATAGCCACGCTAATGCTAGTTTCTTTGGCTGAAGCCGCCATGTTCTTTAGACTGAACTGTCACGCTTCTCGTTGCGTCACACCTCAACCCGCCTCAAAACCAACGCTGATGACGTTCGTTTGGGGAACTGCTCCAAATTTTCTTTAACGGAAAGTAGCCAGACTGATCTGCGAGTGAAACCTTGAAAGCTTGTGAGATCAGGATGGTCTCACGAGGCTAGTCTTTCTGTGTCCTTCTATATCTGTATCTGAGTCTTGCTGATATTTGTACCTGTTTATTGGTCAGTACTCAAAGCTGTAATATCGGTATCGTAAAATAAAACGTTGCATAGGACACCCCTACTTTCTTTTTTTTTCTTCTTTTTTTAAGATGCTCTATCCAGTTCTTCACTACAGTGATTCAAATTGGACCTCAGCAACTGTAGGGAAACAAGTATGAGAGTTTTAAGGTGGACTTGTTCCTTTGGGTGAACTAAGAAGGCAAATAATCATTATCTACTGTGAGGCTCAGGGTTCTGCTTTGGGTTAGTTTCTTTATTTAATAACTCAATTATTTTGTTTAAAAGCCAAACATTTCTCAGCATCTAAGCTGCTGTAATCTATTACACCACCCGTTCACATCAAAGCAGCTGACCCTGGGCCTGAAACACAATGACGCCTTATTGCAGAATAAAGGAGGAGCAGTGAAGGAGGGAGTCAAGTGGGAAGAGAAGGTAAAATATGTGTGCAGCTGAATTCTGCTGGTGCATCATAAATGGACGGGGATGTATGCACATGTGTGCAAGTGGGTTTGGTGTGTTGGGCTTATTTCTGATGCTGAGCATGCTTTGACATTTTAGGCAGATTGTCAAAATGCTCTTTTTCTGCCTTCATTTTGTTCCTGTAATTTGGTGACGTTGGTGCCACATCGATCTGGAGGCTTTCAGACCATAATTGTCTCCAGCTACAATTATCACTTAACCACTGTGCCAGTACAAGAGGGCGAGGTTGACCTGAAATGAATTTGGCTCCAGAAATAAACATGTACGATAAAAACAGTTTTTATCTCCTAAGACTGATCGAACCCTCTGACTCTGCCCACAGATGAGCATGATGCTGTCCAGAAGAAAACATTCACTAAATGGATGAATGCACAGTTCTCTAAGGTATGTAAAGCACTGCATGCAGCACAGATTTCTGTGGAAGCTTTTGAATTAAAATGATGCACCTGTTCTTGCAAAACATAGAGATACTCTATTTGCTTCAGTTCTATGACTGAATTCAGAGTATTTCAGCCCTAAAATTGTTATGTTTCTTTATTCTAAAATATTTATAACTTTTTCATAGGTGTTTTGTTGGAAAAAGATGATTTTTTTCATCTAGAATGTATCAGTTCATTTGTCCACCCTGCCACCGGTTTTCCTCTTAATGTACAGCAGTGATTCCGAACTGGGGGTACTCATACCCCTAGTGGACTGCGAATGCATTGCAAGGGGTACATGAAAATATTTCTTGTATAGTAAGATTTCTCAGGTAGTAAAATAAAATAGGGCTGGGATCTGTTTTGCTTTTGAGGACCCAATAAAAAAATTAAAAAAGCGTTTATCAGCCAAAAAGTAGGTTTTTCTTATATGTTTGAGTTTACCTTCAGCTTTGATGCACATCAAAACCAAGCAGAGAAACAGGCTGGATGTAGAGAATATCCTGGGTTCATTTGTTCTTCACATCGAGCTATTGGAGCTCAAAGTAAAACTTATTAAGTCAGTCTGACTAAAAGTTTTTTCTGTATATTGTTCCCAATTCATCAAGTTTAAATGTGATTATAAGGGAGTTACTCAGTGGAGCTCCAGTTTTATCAACACAGGTTTAAAATATGATTTTAATTAGTATTTTTTCGACTCCTTACTAACTTCCAGGCAACATATTTATGTTTTTTTTTTCTATTTGAGATGGAAAGCATAACATGCCTAAGAATAACCTGCTCAAATGAAAAGATTAAGTAAAAGGTTTTTATTTTATAACCGGTTATTTCACTTTTCACGTTTGGGCAATCATCAATACTTTTGATTGAGGGGGGTACTCGTGGTAATGAAAAAATGGCCTAAGGGGTACACAATTCAAAAAAGCTAGGAGACAATGATATACAGTATATGCTGTTAAGCATATACTGTATATTCTGTAAGATTCATCCTATGCTTAGGATGAATCCATGCTAATGGGTCAGGCTCTTATTTGACTAAAAACTCAGAACCATTTTGCCTTACCTGGTACAGTGACCAGGTTGTTTAACTTAATCAAACTTTTTCAATTATTTATTTTTTTCTTAGTGTTTAGGCATTTTGCCAAATTGTGCAAATAGATGGTCATAAAAAGGCTCAGATCTCCTACTTTTATATATATTGTCTGTGGGTTTTATCATACATCCCTGTAATTGTTAAAATCCACATTAGCACAACTCTACTCTGATGAAATGGGGTCTATTTTATTTCCATCTCTTGACAGACCTGTATAACCAGAAATAATTTACTGCTGGTAGTAATTTTATGTCTTTAGATGATTTAATCTTTATAGTTTCAGTCTCATTTATGGCATTTTGCTTTTTTTTTTTTTTCCCTATTTGGCACCTAATGAATCTGCTGGTAACTTTTATCTTCTCAGACGGGGAAGACCCCCATCAAAGATTTATTTTCTGACCTGAGGGATGGAAAGAAGCTACTGGACCTGTTGGAGGGTCTCACTGAAACTGTCCTGGTAAGTTTGTTCCGTTATATCTGCATTTCTGCATTTATTATTTTACAGTCAAACAGTTCCCATCATCCACTGCTGCAATTTGCAGTTTTTGGATTTATTTAATCTCAGAAACATTAACAGAAAGTCAAAGTTTTTCACTAAAGAAAGCAGCTAGTTTAGCGTTAGGCATATCTATCTCTGTTAAAACCGATTTTTTCCCTCTTCCTTTTGAATAAATGTTTAATTTTTAATTGTTTATGATTATTATATTTCTGCAGCAACATGGAGAATATGGCTAATGTCAAACAAGATGTTTTTCAGAAAATACATTAATGTAAAGCAAGCATTTTTTCAGTAATAATATTAACTCTATTTGCTTTTTTCGTGTAGATTACATTCTACATTCTTAGCAATATGGTTTTCAATATGTAACATTTATTTATAATAGTTCACCATGTTTCAAGTAAAATATTTTAGCCTAAAAGTGATAAACGCCTTATAAACACGATACCATGTGTGTAGGAATAATGAGATCTACTTGGTGGTGAGAGAAATTCTGTTTCTCAATATGTTTAGTTAAATCTTTAATTTAGACTGCATTTTATCCACCTCATGCTTTATCAGAATAATAAAAAAAAGGCAATAATTCTATAGTTATTCAAAAATACACATTCCGGTAAATGTTTTCTTGAGCATTCTTAAAAAAAAAAAAACATGCTTCTTGTAAACATCAAAAATATGGCCGAGTACTTTTATTGCATCCCTTTCTCCTTCCTGCCACCCATCTTTGATCCTTCAACACCGTATCATGTTTCTTGCACCTGTGGTCATGCTTTGTGCCAGCTGTCTCTTTGCCATATATGATGGCGCATCAATATCTACTCTCTCTCTCGGATACTGGAATCCTAATGCTATAATTGGGTGCTAATGAGTGGCAGAGGAATGTGAAGTCTCTAAAAGGGATTTGCAGTTGGCTGCAGCTCATGCAGCCATTTTTTCCATAAGTTGGCTCGTGGACAATGCTGATAGGATAATGGGTGTGATGAATACGAGGTGTAACTTGCTGCGCTGAGTGATGACATAGTTTTCCCTCCATCTAGCATTTCACTTCCTGTTTAATTAAGTTGGATCAAGGGAACTTTCCACTTTCAGAGAAAAGCTGAATGAAGTGCAAAAATAAAAGTTGGCACATCATCTTTGTTCTCTGTATTCCTTTGATTCCTGTTGCTTCATTAGCTGTGAACAAGCTTTTGGCTCATTTCAGCTGCATTTCCTCTTCCTCAGACCAAAGAGCGAGGTTCCACCAGGGTGCACTCCCTCAACAATGTCAACAAAGTCCTGCAGGTCCTGCATCAAAATAATGTGAGTAGCTGTTAGTTTTCACAGATGTTTTTGTGCTGTTTATCATCAGCTGCTGAAACCACATGGAAAAATTGTCAACAGTTTGCTATTTTTGTTTTTTGTTTCTTTGATCTTTTTTTTGTTTTAAGATGCAAATTGAAACCCAAAAAGGAAGAGGAACTGTGATGTACTGTATTCATAGAGTTCAAAAGTGTTAAATCTGTTATTTAATTAACCCAGAGAACCATAGTTCTTTAGTGGGGGATATATTTGCATGGTTGTGACTACAGCTGAAACATTAATCGGTTATTGAAATAATTGCCAACTAATTTAGTAATTGGTTAATCAATAAATGGAGGGTAGAGAATAAAACATGCCTTTAGCTGACAGAGTGACCCACTTAGAGCAGTAATTATATCAAAATTGTAAAATAAAAAGTAAATAATTTGCATTTAAGATAAAACATTTATATTTGGCAATATGCTCTATCCAGAACTCCTCAAGTGGAAACCTTTTGCTGTCTGATTATTAATCGATTAATCAAAAAAATAATCGATAGATTAATTGATTTGCAAAATAGATTGCAGCCCTAGATGTGACCTAAGACTTTTACACACCATCAAGCCTCTCTCAAAAGTCTCTCATTCGTGTCATATCTGGTCCTCTGCATTGTACTTAAAAGGTAGGGTTCAAGTCCAAAGGCTATCTTATAGGAAGTGTTTTAGTCTGGTTTGAAATCTTGTTGGGTTTCAATTGTCAAAAAAACTGTACCTGATTATTAGTGTTTAAACCATTAACCAAAGTGACCTTTACTGGCAACCCTGGTGAAACGTGCAAAATGCCTTAACATTAAGCTGTTTTTCTTACTAAAAACGAGAAAAATCCACCCAGTCCTATATAGATGCCTATTTAATTGGGCAGTGTGTAATATTCAAAAGATGTTTGTTTTTAATGACATTATCAGTGGGGCAGTTTCCAAGGGGTGTTAAAATAGTTTGACAGAAAGTACAAGAGATGGACGGATACATCAGCTGGCCAGTTATAATAGTTTTTCTTGTACTGGCATCAGCTGATACATGCATGCCTTGAATGGTTAAGAGCATCTAGGCTGTTTGGTTAAAAACACAAAGAAAGCTGTAAGATGTAATATTTATGTGACAGTTGATAACTTGCCCTACTCCACAGCCTTACATCCTGACACATGTAATGTTTGAAAAATGCAACATGCATAGATGGTGCTCGGTGGACCAGGAGATGAGGGCTAGGTGGAGTCTGGTAAGATGAAAATCGATAGACGATACTGATGCACTTTAATATCGTACTGCCGTAAAAGCTGCTCACATCAGCTTTTCTGTATGATGTCACAGAATCTTTCTAGCAGCAATACTGTTTCAATATCAGTGGTGGTATGCTTGTTAAATATTAGGAAGATCACGTCTCGAAAGATAATGTCTGGGATATGTAGATAGAATTGTAAGACATACGTGACGTTTACGTATTGTTTACTAGCAATAAAAGAAATTTTGGGGTGAGTTTCCCTTTAACTTTTATAATAGTCTGATGTTATGTTAAAGCTGAATAATTTTAATTGAGTATATGGGACAAAATATGGGTTGAGTTGTCTACTTGGGCTCTCTCCCTTCATAGATTTAAATCATATAGAAAAACTAGCGCAATATAATTCCCTCTGCATGCTCTAACTTTGTCAATAAAGGTACTGAAATTAAAGTAGATATTTGTTATTATGTTAAATCTCTGGTTTAAGATGGTGAATGAAGCTGAATATATTCAGCGCTGCATTTGGAGGTGGGTAAAAAATTCCCAGTTTACTCTAATGACGTCAGCATTTGGGTAAAGAGAGCTGTGCCTGTATAGAAATAACCGTGAATAATTGGGGTTCTGCTCCACTCTATGGTTCGGAGCCCAGACATATTTACATATAAACTTAATTATCTTGGCTTCATCCCACTTTGGTAGTTGTGATGGTTTAATATAACTGAACCAATATAATCCCTGAGAACACAGCAGTTAGATGCACTGAGCTGTGACAGACCGTACACTCTTCATGTTTTGGAGAAAACTAATTTATCCAGCTGCAGTTGACATGCTAACACGAAAAGCTAAGTTATAAATAATTTAATGTTAGTGTCACTGTCTAACAAAGGTTTAGCATCTTCTTTCTTTTCACAGGTTGATCTGGTAAACATTGGAGGGACCGACATTGTTGATGGAAACCACAAACTGACATTAGGTCTCATCTGGAGCATTATTCTTCACTGGCAGGTGAGAACTTTCCACAAAGGCTGCAAATGTACACAGAGTCTCATTAGTGTTTGCTTAAATAACTCACTGTCCTCTGATGTTCCAGAGGGATCAGAGAAAACGATGATGGAAACTCTAAAATTAAAGCGCATACATGCGTTCATCCATGTTAACATGCTAATCATCCACTGCTTTGTCAGTTTCATTAGCTGAAAATAAGAACAGCTGCTTCCTGTCCGATGCGGTTTTCTATCGCTTTATTATTGTCTAATTGATTTGAATGAAGGTTTGTTATTGTGCATCTTATTCTTGTTCAATTATGTTTATAATACTTAAGACGGACGCTTTGGAAAGACTAAAAAGTGTCAACCAAGTACTTAGATACTTAAAATATATTTTTTTAATGTCTGAAATTAAATGAGACGAAACATTTTTACAGTTTTGGTCAGTAGGACATGAAAATATTACTGTACCTTTAGATAGTTTGAGGTTTAAATTATTTAAAGATGTGTAGTTTTGCACCTCAAAATTGGGGGGCGGTTATAATTGGAGAAAAAAAGTATGATTAAGAGAAAAGTTTATAAGTCTGTGAATAAAATCACAATGGTGAAGCACAGCGGTAGCAGCCTTATTGTTGTATCATGATTTTGCTGCTGGAGATATCAAAAAAATGTGAAGTAATCATATTAAAGCAATTTGAAAATATGATCAAGGAAATTAAATTTTGTGAATAAATTTGTCACAAAGAAGATGGTGGAGAGAAATGAGCTGAAACGAGTGGAATCAAGCTAGCCACATCTGGCTCTACAATATCAGTTCGTAACAGTAATGGACAAAAATCCAGGGAACCATTCTGAGAACCTTGTTTCCAGCACTATAGAGTTATTATTCATAAGTTCATTATTTCTTTTTGCAGGTGAAAGACATCATGAAGGACATCATGTCCAACCTGCAGCAGACTAACAGCGAGAAGATCCTGCTGAGTTGGGTACGGCAATGCACACGCTCGTACCCGGAAGTCAACGTGCTGAATTTCACCACCAGCTGGTCTGACGGACTGGCCCTGAACGCAATCCTCCACCATTTCAGGTGAGCCCTCCTGGAATTAGCATGATATTGATGTCATGCTCACCGACATTAGAAATGAATTCAACAGATGGTTTGCAGCCTTTTTTTTTTACTGAGAGGCTGAGGGGATGTAGGGTGACAGGTCAGCATCTGTAGTGGGTGTGTGTGTGTGTTTGTGTGTGTGTACTGCATGGCTTGTTCTGTTTAGGCTCTGCTGTGTCACTGTTTACTTACGCTGTGTTAGCTGTTGCATGTGAAAGACAGAAGGGGGGGTTGGGGGTATTTTCCCCCTTTATGTAATCCCTTGTCCTTAGTAATGGTGACACGCTCTGGCCTGTGAGCTGTGAGAACCTCCAGTGTTGGTTTAGAACTGGGCCTAGGCTTTAGTTGGATCACTGAACACGCATTCCACACCCTCGCCCCCTCACATTCAACCACTGCCCAGAAAATCATTATTTTTATACCGTTTGTAAAGTGTTGAAATATTTATGATTAAACCGACTTTCAGAGTCTGTGTTTATGGCTTTCTCTCTCCCTCTTTAACTGTATTTCCGTCTCTCTATCTCTGAAGGCCAGGTGCGTTTAGCTGGGATCAGGTGGTCAAAATGAGCCCTGTGGAGAGACTCGACCATGCTTTCACCTTTGCCAAAAACCAGCTAGCTATAGAGAGACTCCTGGACCCTGAAGGTAACGCTTTCTATACATTTTCTACAGTAGTAGCTAGATAGTGTCCCATTGCAGGTGCCTGGTAACCAAAGAATAGTCCTTTTATTGGAATTTTAACATAAGATAGAGTAGTAGTAGTGTTTGTGCAATTAAAGCAAAAAGGATTTATAGAAATGGGTCATGCAGATTACTGCGAAGTCAACAGATTGATAAAGGGAGTCAATCTGTAGGTAATCTAAATCTCTTTTGTCTCAAGTTATCTTATGAAGGCCTCCACGGTTGGAATAAAGGCAAAAGAAAACCAATGATGACAAACAAGATCAACATTGTATCTTGAAAGTTAGATGGAAAAAGCTACATGTTGAAAAACTTAACTTTGTATATATTGAACTAATCATACCAGCCACACTGGAACACAACGGTGGCAGCATTATGCTGTGGGATGGTTTTCTTTAGTAGTTTAGAATTGAAACTTCACAGTTAAATATTTTTATCTATCATGGAAAATACGAATACTTTTGCAAGCTCTGTAGAGTTAAACTTCCATACACTGTTGATCTCAAGTATTTCCTATAAGAGCATAGTCTGTTATAATAAATTCTACTTTTAAGTCTTGCCAGCTACTGAATTAACAGTGGATTCATTTCATTGAAGTTGTCTCAGATCATCTCTCATCTCATTTTCGTATAGATATCCTGAGCTGTTTTCCAGCTGACCCATATCAAAGTCTTTTTTTAAGTGGTTTAACTTGTTTCAACCTGCTTCTTTATCTCACTCTCACCTTCCTTTTCATTTAATCTTCTCTTGTTACCTTTACCTGCTGTCCCTGTCCACTCATGCTTTGGTTCCTTTCATGCAATTTTCCCCTTTTTATCTCCTCTTTCTTACCTCCTGCCTCCCGTACCGTATCTTGATCTCTCTGCTTCTCCATCTGTGTGCTTTCTTCCGACTCGCTATCCTTTACACCTCAGATGTGGCGGTGCAGTTACCAGATAAGAAGTCCATAATCATGTACGTTACTTCGCTGTTCGCCGTGCTGCCCAAGGATGTGAGCATGGAGGCTATCAGAGAGGTAGAGACACTGCCTCGCAAATACAAAGTAGGAGCTGAAGGGTCGAGTCCAGGAGTCAGTATGCAGGTAAAGTATAAATGTTTTATCTCAGTTTTTCCAGCCGTATGTTTTAATCTGGGTTCTAATCCATCAAAGTTCTATTAATAACCTGCAGTAATTGCATCCCTCTATACTTTGTTTTACTATTTTGTCAGCATCAGTAACATCCCAGTTATGTTTCAGCTGTTAACTTTGATATTCAATCTATGTTTGCAAGGTAAATGTTCTGAGTATGCATTAGGTTTTTTTATAAGCATCAAGGTATACTGAGGATTTAAAAGGTTATTTGCTATTCTGTCATGATATTTCCTTTAGTTTACAGTAAAATATTTTTACTGTGATGCTGTGAGCCATAAAGTAACATAACACCACCCTTCTTTCCAAGCACTGTTTGCCAGCAGCCTGAAAGAAGGCCACTATACTTTTCCACCCATAAAAAAAAAAAATCAAATTTAAGAGGAAAAGGGTAATGGAAAGGAAACTTAAGGAGTGCTACTGCTCACTTGTATTAAGGTAAAGCTTTTATAGAACTACAATTTCTGAGCTGTGAGCTACATGTCTGTTAAGCAAACAACTACAGCCTTTACTGGAGAAGACAAATACTTCAAATGGTTCTATAGGAAGGTCAGCATAAGAAAAAGGTTTATTATTTTGCTCAAAGTGTTTTATATTGTTTTATATTTAAACTATTCACTACTATCTTATTCTTATAATTTATTTATATTTTTCTAAGGTCCACATTTGTGTGACCATATTTTCTATAATCTTTGTGCTGCTGTAAACACCAGATTGTGATTTATTGTGATTGATTTAAGCATTTTCTAATTTATTCAGAAAAACTGATCTGCAGTGCAGTGTAAACAGGTATATTCTTACATACTTTATTTTATTAACCGTCCAAGAAACACACATCAAAATCAAAAGTATTAAAAGTTATACTTAAGGCTGCCTTTTGAGCTTCTCACACATACATGGTACGTCTGTTTTATGAAATACTTAAGGTTTTCTTTAGTGGATGAAACTTGATGGATCAAAAACGCCAAAAGATCCACAGCTGGTATGCAGCTTTGTAGACAGAAGCATATTTGATGCACAAATAAGGTTTTTAGCAAATTCCTGCTCTGAAATTGTACATTAAATCAGAATGAAAGACAAAAACAAAGTTTGGACACCCATAGTTTAACCTCTTTCTCTGACTAAAGTGCCACCAAATGCAAATTTTAATTTTTCTACACCAGAATTATCCTTCTGGGGTCGTGCTGGTGTGGACCAATTTCAGCAGAGATAGTAGCATCATTGTTTTGGTGTTTTGATGTAGAAAGGACTGTTACACTTTATAAAATATTAGGGACAAATATGAAAAAAATCAAAGAGCAAGAGCAAAGAGGCCTACAGAATTGTTTACACCAGTTCTACCTTGAGAAATGGATCAAAATTCCAGCCCAACATTAACTTTAATGTTAAAATAAGTAAAAATCGTCCTGGTCATTATTCCATATGACTGCTAGTCAGTTTAAACAGCATACTTTCCATATTTGTACATTTGATCATATTATTGCGTTAAATGTTTCACCTTTGAATAACAGTTCATGTTGAGTGACCTGAAATGATTTGAGAGTAAATACTTTAAACTGCTTTGATTTGATTAATTTCTATTTTCTGAGATCCAATTCTTCTTTCTTCCAGCTGGTGTTCTTTAATGGTTAACCCTTTTTTTGTTTTTGTTTTTTCGAGTTTTTACGGCACTAGTGGTTCGCTTTTTCGACAGTAGTCTGACAGGAAAGGGGGTATGAGAGAGGGGGAGAGACATCCTACAAAGGACCACAGGTCTGATTCGAACCTGGGTTCTTGTGTCGTCCGCGCTAACCCCTGCGCCACTGGCACGCCCTAATCCTGTTTTTAACAATTGTTTCACCCCTGATGCGGGAACTTTTTTCAGCAGCAAAACCCTGGTTATCATGTTTCCAACTGAAGTGATTTAAAGAAAACTTAGTCCAGTGACTCCAACAGCTGGAACCAGTGCATGGAAAGAAAATCTTGTAGCTTTTCTCCTACTCTAGTTGCAATGCTTAGTTTACATTTAGTTTGAAAGCCATTAGTATTATAATATTTTGTCTGCTTCTGGACAAAATGAGTCAGTCCCACCTTTAACAAAAAAAACCCAGCTGCCTCCGTTCTCTCCAGCTATGCTTGTGAAAAGCACAGCGGGCACGGGCAAATTGGGAGCAGAACCATGACTCATTCCTCTGACATTACTGAACAGACCATGCTGCACACTGGAAACATAGGGCTGTAAATGGGATGGAAGGAAACCGGAGGGGATGAATTGGGTAGAGTAGAAGCAGAGGGTAGAAATCAGTTTGCTGCTGCACTTTTGTTTGTCACTTAAATCCACATGGATGGACTCCCCTGCTGATTCTTATACTTGTTCTTGTATATGCACAACATTGGTTGGACCTAACAATCTCATGTCTCAGAATATTTCTGCAAAAACTGGTAGTCTTTTTTTTTTTTTAGTCCTTTTTGAACCAGATGTTTTGATTTTATTCATGGCAAAGCTTCTGGTCCGTCAGAAAATCCCCAAACCGCCTCTTAGGTTTTTATTACCTGTAGGCAAATACTTAACACACCCTGGACTGCATTCTGGAAAAATTCTTCTTAAATGAAACTCTGATCTGTCCAAAGGGATTTAACTTCCCTGCAACATTTTTTCTCTGTATGCATGGATAGAACCAGTAGCCCTGCCATTCGGAGGACTGAGAAAACACCTTTGTTTTTAATGCCGTGTATTTTTAGAGACGAACTGCTGTCTGAAAACTGTACAAAGTAAAATTTATACATTATGTGTTCGCAAAATGACAATAAAAGTTGTCAAAGTTTAAGATCCCAACCTGGGTTTTTAGATCAGGGTTTGATGTTGATGATACGCCGAGCGCTTCATATTGTAATATTGTTGAATGAAACTATGATAAGGATGTATTATAGTGCTTTATGAGGGCAGTGAAAGGCCTTTTTTTTTTTTTTTTTTTTTACAGCCATTCAGGTCTTTAAATAAAGTAATTCCTCTTTAGTCACTCCCCTGGTTACTTCTGCATCCAACAATGGCGTCAACACAGTCTGCCGTTGGTTCTTATTGCCAAATGTCTAAAAGGCCAGTGAATATTTTCAGCTGCTGACCTTTTTGGAGTGTACCACTCATGCTTCTGCAACTGTGCAATTTCAGGCCCCAAAACAAAGGTCCATTTAACTTTTCACTGTATTAGTCTCTACACACACGCTAGGATTTCTGTCCTGTTTGACTTGGCATGCCTGCTGGTGCTGCAAGGGTTTATCCTGTTCCGCTACAGACAGATTAGCTGAGTTCCTTTGAGCTTCCCTCCAGAAAAAAACAAAAACACAATCCACGAAAGCTTTCTCTAAACGGTTTGGAATACAGAGGTTTAAACACCTTTTCCGGACCCTTTCTCTCTGTTTCCTGTCTGAAGCCTTTTCATCCATTTCTCCGACTGAGCGCTCCATCTTGGATTTATATATATTTGTGACGCAGTGTCCTATTCCTAAAAGCAGGATGAGCCCTATGCAGTGTTCATCCCATCCCATAATAGGGAAGCTGTTGTTAAACTTGACAGAGAGGTCACTATGGGCTCTCCAGGGCTACACCTCCCCCTTCCTAAATGTCTGTTTCTATTTAAAGACTCTTCAGCTGATGCAACTAAAGTTAGAAATAATGAATGATGGGTGTGTAATGGATGTTATAGACATTAAACATGAGTTTTAATGTGGTGCTTTCCAAAAATATGCATACTGCAGGAATGTTTCTTGCAACAACTGCAAACATAATTTAAACAGTGAACAGTTGTGACGTATAGTGGAGTCCTTTGTTCTATGTGGCATCCTTCTTCTGAAGTCCAGCTGTGTGTTTGGAAGCAAAGTCTTTCCTTAATTCTCAATAAAATTTATGTATAGATTCTAACTGGACAAGCATAGGAATTAGCTTTTATCTAGGCTCTCCCACTGCGAGTTTGTCTTAGGATTCAGAGGCTGTCCACTTGCGCTGCAGTCTGAAGACTTGCATCTTCTAAAAACTTTTCTTCCCTGACTGCGTTAATCTTCAATCCTTCCATTAACTCTTACCAGCATTCTGAGAACTACTGGGGAGGCAGACTGCACATCTGAATTTAAGCTGGACTTAAATTCTTTTTACTGCTCTTCTAGAAAGGCCAGATTTGTATGACATTGGAACTATGAGTTATCCTGTCTGCAGATTTTTCTTTTTCACTTCAGTTTAGATCTCCAGAGAGTCGCTCTTTTGGCTGCAGCTCACTGGTGTTCTCTTGGAAACTTTGGAGACATTCAGACGAGCTGCATTTATTCTGAGATTAAATTATTAAATTACACACATATGAACTTTATCTACTAATCAGGTGAACTCTGTGGGAAGTTGGCTGCACTTGATTATTTAGGGGTATTCAACATATGCTTGTCCTTTTTTTTCAGATTTTAGCTCCACTGTGTGACTCTGTTGTGACGTGTTCAGCTTTTATGGAGGTTTTTGTCCTTGAGGCAACTGGAGGACTCCATCAGTAACTGTATATCTTCCCACTCTCTTTCGATGACGTCTTAAATCACTAAAAAACAAAGACTACTAAAACAGTAAAACATGTCTAATTTATCCCCCTAATTAACAAATATTCAGCTCTTTATGTTGGTCTGTCAGTTAAAATATTTAACAGGTTCAAGTGGCGTGGAAACTTTCATAACATGATCAGATGAGGACCTAACAGGAAGTCTATATTTCACAGACTGTGCAGACAGAGGAGGCCGGCAGCAGCCCACGTCCCGAGACCCCCAGCACCCTTACAGAGACGGAGGGCGAGATGGACGACAGCCTGCTGGAAGTGGACCTGGACGGCTACCAGACGACTCTGGAGGAGGTTTTGACTTGGCTGCTGTCTGCTGAGGATGCCCTGCATGTCCAGGATGAGGTGTCGGACGACGTGGAAGAAGTTAAAGAGCAGTTCCACACACATGAGGTAGGAGAAGAGAGATTTGCTGACAGAGGATTTGAACCAAAACAAACTTAAACAATTTAGCTCCTATTCTAATTGTCTGGTGCTGGTAAAGATAGCATAGTCCTCAAACTGATGTGACATTTTGGAATAAGATGTTATAGTAGTTGACTGTGCTTGTCCAACCCACTTGCTATTTTGTTGATATCTGTCACTCTTCACTGCTACTTCCAACACTGTTTGCCAGACACATGCCTTCCACAGCTAGCCTTACATGCTCTGTACTTGTTGGGAATGTGAGGAATTCTTCATGGAGTCACAGAGCACAGCTCTCCATAGGCTCTTGGCCCAGAGCTGACTGATTGACTGACTTGCTTTCTTGACATGAGGGGTGTATTGTGAAAGTTTGTCTGTGCTTGTGTGTGAAGGGGCTTTGAATGGATTCCCTCTGCTGAAATGTGACTATTGGTGAAGCTGAATGCCTAGAATCCAGGTCAAAGTAGAAAGCTGGCAACAGGATCTAAAGCCTCTTTGACAGCCTGGCTTATCAAGTGGCTTAAACTAAATTCTGCTGGTTTTTACAAACTGTTCACAAACAGAAACTAAAAGTAATCAGAACTGTTAAATGCACTTATAACCGATCATTCAGTTACAAATCTTACTGAAAACAAACTTCAGACATGACTTTCTGCCTCCTTTCCACAAATGTAGTTCATTTTATATTTCAGCCTTTTGTATTTAAGATCATTATACTGCTGGAATTATACTCAGGTTGCACCCATCTAACTCCAGGGTTTTGGAGGGCTGTCCTCCTGTATTTGTCAATATGTTTCGTTTAATGCAAAACAGCCCCACAGCATAATGCATCCACTACCATGGAACAGTGTTTCTTTTTTTCCCCCAGTGCCCTCTGGCTTCCAGTGCATGTAGCTATAAAATGTGCTCCAATCAGGAGTAGATTCAACAGCTTTGGTTAGTCACTATTGGGTTCCTGGTCAAACAAATGTTATTTCTCCTGGTGATGATGGACTGAGTCAGATAGTTTAGGCTTCCATGCAAGTTGGTTCAGAAATCAATACATTTAGGTTAGCATGTTTTTTTCTTTTTTTTTCCTCAATGCTTGACCTTAACTGTACTAAACCTTTAAGGAATATTCATGAAAAAAAAAAAAAACTCCAGAAAACCAATAAAGCTAGAAGTGCTCTACCTATTTTGCCATAACAAATATTTATCCAGAATTATGCTAAAATCTTGCTAATGGCTGTTAAATCATGTGGTTGTGGTTAAAATGAAAAGGAACACACTTAACTGAACATTAGTGTTGCTTTATATGATTACATCTGAGATTGTTTATGTAATTTTGACTCTTTTGTTTATTGTAGAATGTTCACATGAATTCAAACCTTTGCACATAGCTCATTTATTTAAAAACCATTAAAGTTGTTTGTTTATTTTCACGACCATAAGGCGCAACGTACTAGGCGCAGTCTCAGTCATGTGTGCCATTACTGTATTTAACACACACATAAGGCGCACCGGATTATAGGGCGCGGGTTTTATATACAGGTACATGTCCTCTACTATGTTTAAATACCTCTACTGTGTATTTAAAAATAGAGCGGGAGCAAAACTGAGTATGATTATGCTTTATTGAAGTATTTATTACAAAGTATTAATCAAACCCATCAAGGTCATCATCCTCTGTTTCTGAATTAAACAGCTGCGCTAAATCAGACATGCCAATTTCCCCTTCTTCGCTGTCAGAGTCACTTTCTGTGCAGCGCGGCTCCTCAGAAATAATGCCTGCTTTTGCGAAAGCTTGAACAACAGAGCCAGCAGACACGTTAGTCCAAGCATCTACAATCCATCCGCAAACTGTGGCGTAACTTGCTTGGCACTGCCTTCCACTTTTCGTGAAACTGTGGTCTCCGTCGGTCATCCATCGCTCCCACGCCGCTCGCAGCCTTACTTTGAACGGCCGGTTCACACCGATGTCGAGCGGTTGAAGCTCCTTTGTCAGACCTCCCGGAATAACGGCAAGCACAGCGTTCATTTGTTTCACCTTTTTTTTCACATCGGCTGTGAGATGGGCACGCATGGAGTCACAGATTAACAGCAATGGTGATGAGTGGAAAAAAACCACCTGGTCTCCTTACATACACCTCCCTCAGCCACTCTTTCATCATCTCCTCATCCATCCAACCCTTTTCATTTGCCTTAATAAGGACTCCAGCCGGAAAAGTCTTTCTCTTAAAAATCACCATAGGCAGCATTTTCTGTCCACGCCCACACTTCCCCCTTTAACGTTCTCATAGCGGTCTCAACAACGTCTGCAGTAACACATAGGGCGCGCCGCACATTTTGAGGGGGGAAAAAAAGACGTTTATATGCGCCTTATAGTCGTGAAAATACGGTAGTCTTTTTTTTTTCTTTTTTTTCCCCCATCAAAAATAACATTAATCATAAACACATCATCACCTATCATTCTTGGCCATCATAAAGGTATTCAGACTTCTATCCAGGACTGCGCTATAACTTTGTCCCCCGTCTTTTCCTTCAGGGATTTATGATGGAGTTGACGGCTCATCAGAGCAACGTGGGTAATGTGCTGCAGGCGGGCAACCAACTCATTGTTCAGGGCAACCTAACAGTGGAAGAAGAAGAGGAAATTCGAGAGCAGATGACCCTCCTCAACTCTCGCTGGGAGAGTCTCAGAGTGGCCAGCATGGACCGCCAGGCCAGGTAGGAAGAGGCAGATATCTACAGCTGCAAAGAACAGAGTGTCTTGGTTGTCATGACAATAACGGTGTGCATCGTTAGAATTGTAAATGACTGACTGGATGCAAGTTTTGGTCGACTTGGATCTTTTCAGATGTTTTGTCTAAACTCCAAAATACTTTTGTCTAGGTAAAAGTTCACTCTGTGCCCAGAGCCCATATATAATTATTTGGGATGTAATAATATTACAGTTGTAATACTTTATGTTTTCCTTTACTGCTGTCCAACATGGATTTCTCCTCTTTCTTTTAGTTTTCTCATCATTAGCTGTGCTGTTAATACTTGTATGATCTTTCTATTCTCCAAAATAACATAGGACTGGTTGACATTTAGACAGATTTTAGACAAATTTTATTTGTCATTTTTTTGTCGTTTAGAAACAGCTCACTGGACAATTTCATCTTTTTAAAAGTGCAGCCTTGAAAAATAGTAAAATAGACTGTAAATTTACAGTTCTAACTTTTTTTTTTTTGGCATGGCTTAAAAGTTAAATTTCTTTTTTTTCTCTCTTACAAAATCCGATTTATCAGTTTTCCCCCCTCCCTTAAGTGTCATAAAGACAAATGATGTACAGTACTTTCATTAACTAAAATCTATTTTAATCATTCCCTCTGAGAGGTTACCTTAATTTAAAGGGCAAAGGAATTTAAGCTTTAAAAATGCTTATTAAATAATCATGTTTCAAAATAAAAATATAACAAACTAAAAGTTTGCAGCTGAGTTTTCCTGCTGTCGTGTTCGGTCAATTATTAGTACACATCTAAGAACAAAAAAGTTATAAACTGATGTCACACTGAGCTATGGGGAAAAAAAATCTTAATTTTCAAAACTTAAATCTTTTTAAAAAGAAGATTTAATTGTTTGAATTTATTAAAAAAATACTAAGCCCTAATGAGACACTATTCAAAATGAACTTCGGCTCATGTTATTAAAACCTAAATGTGTCTGTTGAAAGGGATTTTCCTCTTGTTGCTTTTGAATTTTGATGTCAAGTTTTACCCTGAGCTCTTCTAGAGACCAAAAAAAAAACAAATCCTTGTTTTTTTATGGAGTCTTAATCCAGTATGTGCCAATATTCAGAGGAAGTTAAAGGTTAATGTGTGGAAAAACTAAGTCCTTAACTTTCCCCACTGTAATTTTCCAGGCTGCACGAGGTTCTGATGGAGCTTCAGCAGCAGCAGCTACAGCAGCTCTCTGATTGGCTGACGCTGACGGAGGAGCGAATCAAAAGCATGGAGACGGAACCAGCAGCTGATGACTTTGATCTCTACAAGGACAAGATAGAAAGACATAAAGTAATATAATTATTTCCATGAACACAATGTTTGAGCATATTTCATAGACGTACAAGCTGATGTTATTCGCTTACAACATATCGTTGTGGTGCTGTAATCCTAAAATCAAATTTTTTTTTTTTAATTAATCAACATTTTCCATGTTGATGTGAAATTCTCTACCAGCTCAGTTTAAAGGCAATTATACAATTATCAGTTTTCATCATCCTTTAACTTCCTGTTTGGTTTCCTGATCAGGAACTTCAGAACGACTTGGAGGCAGAGCAGGTGAAGGTCAACTCTCTAACGCACATGGTTGTCGTGGTGGATGAGAACAGCAGTGAGAGTGCCACTGCTGCCCTGGAGGAGCAGTTGCAGGTGAGGTACCATGCTTTAAATTTGAAAAAAGACGATTGATACGTGCAGATCTACATCTAGCTATACTATACGTACATGGATGATTATGGATGTCAGTTTGCTAGTAGCCTGAAACTGATTTAAGTTGAATATATTTTTCAGTCTTTGGGTGAGCGCTGGGCAGCAGTGTGCCGCTGGACGGAAGAAAAGTGGCAGAAGCTGCAAGAAGTTTTCCTAGTGTGGCAGCAGCTTTTATCTGATCAGGTATCAGATATTTTCCTCCCTGTTAAATAGTTTATTGAGAAAAAAACTAACTAATACAACACACAAGAAGCAATCCTACCTAGTGTTTGAGTTTAAATACAGCAATAATAATTTTAAAGTGATACATTTGCTCTTTCAAATTGACTGTTTCTCATTTTTTTTTGCAGCTCTGGATATTTTTATTTTGTCTAAAGATGCAGCATATAAAGCTATAAATGCTATTTACTTTATAAGTGAAATTTTATAGATATTTCTTTCCTTTTAGAGCTTGATAAGAGATTGGTTGGCAGAAAAAGAAGAAGCTTTAAATCAAGTACAAACCTGCAACTTCAGAGACCCCAGTGAAATGAATGCTAATGTGCGCCAGCTGACAGTGAGTTGGAAAATCGAATTATCCTCAGTTTCTGAAACTTTTATGCTCATTTCCTGAATAAGTCTGGATACTAACAACTTTCTGTTTCCTGTAAAGAATATCTTCATATAGCGGCCTAATTTTGTGTTAAATCATCAAATAAATATATTAATTTGCAATTAAATGAAAAGTTTTAACCTTTTTTTTCAAATTAAAACTACAATTACAGAACATTGTCTATGTATGGAACAAAAACTCAGACAAAGGCCTACAAAGGTGCTCTGATGATTGCTTAGATGTACAGTAGGTTTAATGTTCACCAATTGTAGACATTTTTTTTCTTACAGTGGAACGACTATTTAAAGACCTCATCTACAACCTTTTTTCAGAAGGCCTCATATAACTCATTTATTTCCAGAAAAATGTCCGGTTTCATTAGATAGTCAGCAACCAATATCCAGTGTCTGAAGTTTAAATTGTATGCTAGAGATATATGCATTACTTCGACCTTGTGTAATACAGCTGCATGGGGTTGTAACCCCTCTAATTGGTAATAGATGTAGTTTTGTCTGAATTTATTTTTTAACAGAAACTGGATTATGTTTTTAATTGTCCAAGTTTATATTTAATGCCCATATATGCAAACACATTCACAGGCTGCCATAGGGTATCCTCATTATTTCACATGCCTTTAAACTATAGAAATTGAACTTTTTTCATTCTTAATTGGTGCTAGAATTAAGGTTATATATGTGTTTGTTCTCTTAGATTTTAAAAGAAGATATGGAGAAAAAGAGAAGGACCCTGGATAAACTGTCTGATGCAGGTCAGGATGTTATGCAGCTGCTCCAAAGCGCTGAAGCAGCTGCTAAGATTGAGGCCGACACAGAGGAGCTGACGCACCGATGGGACGGCCTGGTTCAAAAACTAGAGGACTGCTCCTTCCAGGTGTGTACTCGAAAATACTGACTGTTGTAGGTTTGAATGAGATTTGCTAATAAAAAAGAAGAAAAATAAAGAAGGCGATAGTAAAACTTTTCATGGTTACTTTTTTTTCTTTAATGTTTTCCGTTAACTAAATTTCAGTAAAGATTTTCTGTCTTTTTTTTTTCCCCCCTTGTATGCTCCAACTCACAGGTAATGGAGGCTGTGACAGATGCTGGAATGACTCAGGTGGAGGAAGAGTTGATGGTGGATACTGCTGCAGCTGCTTCTTCTGCTATCGACCAGGAGTTAGCCCAACCTGCTCCTGCTAAAAAAAGATTGGTGGAGACCGATGCAGAAATCAGACGACTGTAAGCCTACGTTATACTCTTGTATATTAGGGGGAGTGGCAGCTGATTGGTTAGGGCATAGAACTTGGAATCCTGTGGTCTCTTGCTCTTTGAGCAAGACCCTTAACCCCATGTAATATAAATGCAGAGATGAATTTCTCCAATGTGAGATCAGTAAAGTTAAATTATTATTAAATAATAGACAATAGACAGACGTGCAAATGTTAAACTGACACATTACCTCCTGCAGGTTTGAAAATAAGCTCTCGGACTTGATGGGGTGGATTCAAACCTGGAAGACATCGGCTCAGTCACTGTGCTCCACACATCCTGAAACTACAGCTGATGCAACAGACATGCAGGAGGAACTAAAAGTAGGAGGTTAACCATTAATGAATAGGCAGAGAGTTTCATTTTAAACTGCACTTTACTAATGCTGTATGAATTATTGTTTATTGGCTACTTTAGGAGCTGGAGATTCAACTAAAAGAGAAGGAAAGCGCAGTGAGTGAAATGACAAAAGAAGGACGCACCCTGATGGACCAACTTGAGAGAGGTAAGAACAGCAAATTTTCCTGGTATGCAATAAAGAAAATGCTACATTAGAAAAATATAGATTTTAAACAAAATTATAAAAGAGGTGTTGGATGCATATGAGCTTTTGTAAAACTGTTTTTTATTTAGGTAAAAAATAGTCAGCGATTAAACAAAAGTACTTTGCAATAAATATTAAAATTTCCTCTTAAGCTGTGTCGTTTCCATACGATCTGTGATGTTTTCCAGGCATTTCTATTTTATTTAGTGTTAAATGTCAATAGTACAAGTGCATTTGAGTATTTTATGGAAAAATAAATAATATAATGTCTAAGCCTACAAGCATGCAGTAAAACTCTAGACTTTATATGCCTGCTTTGCTCTAGCAGCAGTGGAGCAAGAGCAGGATTTCTACCATGGAGTTTCTTCCATTAAATCCTGTTTTATTGCATCACCTTGGAGCATATTTAACATTTCGAACTCAACAATGGTGCACACTTCTGCTTCAAATGTGTTAACTTTTCAAATATCTTTTTGATCTGCAGAGGGAGCGGATGTTGATGCAGTGAGGGAAAACATAGACCTGATTCAGACCGAGTGGGATGTCTGTGGCAGGGAGCTTCAGGCCGCTTCTGACAGGGTTCACACTCGGACCCGGATCAGACAGGTTTCTGCACAGCTCGCTGACCTCGACCAGATCTTGGAGAAACACGACCAGTGGTTGGCTGAAACTTCACCTGTAGACAGCTGCGGGGAGGTTGAGCTGAGAAATTTGAGAGGAGAATGTAAGGTAAGATTTATCACTTGTAAGGATTTACTCTACTTTCCTTGATGACTCAGTTTATTGCTTACTATGATATCTGTATCTAGTGGAACATATTTATTCTGTCAAATCAGCATTTGTTCACTGAATGTGTCTAAAACTGTTTTACCTTAGTCCTTCAACATCTGAGCCAAATGCTGTAACACAGGAAGGTAGGAAGGAAACTTAATTTAGTTTTAAAGGGAGGCCAGCAACAAGCTGACATGTGTCTGTGTGGGCCCCACACTTGGGCTCACCTTTATGATTGGTGTCAGAGCTCCTTCATCTGCAGGGATCTTGGAGTAGAGCAGACATTAATAGTCCACTGAGGTTCAAGTATCCGATTACTCCTGTGGTTTCTTCCTTTGGCTGATTTGTTCCTAAACTCCTGACAAATCTCTGCGATGCATGTCTGGATGCTGAAGGCTTTTGTGAACGTTCTCCTTCATGTTGTGTCCCCAGGCCCGTCTTGCTCAGGTCTCTGCCTTCGGTCCACAACTGGAGCAGCTGTCCTCGGAGGCAGGAACACTTGGAGCGGTGCCCTCTCTGAAAGACAACCTGGTTGTGGTTTCTGCACATCAGTCCTCCACGCTACAGCAGCTGCAGAACAGAGAAGAAGAAATGAATCAAGGTCAACATGCTTGCTTTTACACAGTCCATTGCTGTAGTAGTATTACTCTTTAGCCTTTTACTTTGATAGGTCATTTAGTAGCACATTGCTGTGGAGTGATCCTAAAATTATGTTGTTTAAAAAAAAAAAGAAACTTCACAAAAGTGTGATCTTCATTCGCAGTAAGCTTTCTCAGCTCTGATACTTGTAAATGAAATTAGTTGGTAAAAGCCTGCTTTGTTTGAGAACATCAATTAACAAACAGCATAAAGATCAAAGAGAACAGAAGTCGGCTCATAAATAAGGGCATAGATAAAATGGCCTAGCTGGAAGTCTATAGGCTTTACCTGTTCACCAGTGGATGAGACAAAATTTAAACCTTTTGGGCTTCATCCAAAGCTCTGGGTGGTTCACTATTCCACAGTGAAATGCGTCAGTGGCAGCATCATTCTGAGGGGAATGTAATATTTAGGGAAGGGAAGCTGGTCAGAGTGGATAAGGATGGATGGAGCTAAATACCCTACTACCCTGGAAAAAAACCTACAACACTTGAAACAAAAGAGCAACAGTTCTTCACTAACATTACAGATGTAGATAAGATTAATTTGATCAAAAACCAGACATGTTTATTAGAATGGCTCAGTAAAAGTCTAGACCTGAATCCAATTGCCACTGCCACAGAACTACAGCCTTGTAAGTATGGTGCAGCTTTGTTGCCAAAGCAACAGCTGTTCTATTTCATCCCTACTGACCGCCAGAGGCGGTGCTTCAAGCACTGAATGATCATTCATGCGCATGCGCAGGTCGAGTATTAATGACAACAAAGTCAGCTGTGACCTGCCGGGGACCCACGTGACTCTATATAGTCACGTGGCACCCGGCAATCAATCACTTTTGTTCTTCTCGCGCGCAGGTGTGTTGAGTACAGGAGTGTGGTCGTGTGAAGCTGGTTGCTTCTGTGTATACCACTAGTTTCCTGGCTGCTTGTTGCTGGTAGCCCCGTGACCGGGTTTGGTCGGAGCTGCGGGTAAGTCTCGCCCTCCAGGGGCTGCACAAGCTGCTTTCACCTTACCAGATCTGCGGTGACTGGTAAGTTTTCGTTCTTTTCTCAGCAGTAGTTTACTGTTCGCTTTGATTTGCCACGTTAATTTTGTGGCTCTTTTGACTCACGGTAGCGTTTCTGCTCGCGCTGAGTTGTTTTCAGTTTGTTTGCCTAAGCCCACCAGTAGCGTTTCTGCTCGCGTTGGGTTCTTCTATAGTTTGTTTATCTACACTCACCAGTGGCGTTTCTGCTCGCGCTGAGTTGTTTTCAGTTTGTTTGCCTAAGCCCACCAGTAGCGTTTCTGCTCGCGTTGGGTTCTTCCATAGTTTGTTTATCTACACTCACCAGTGGCGTTTCTGCTCGCGCTGAGTTGTTTTCAGTTTGTTTGCCTAAGCCCACCAGTAGCGTTTCTGCTCGCGTTGGGTTCTTCTATAGTTTGTTTGCCTAAACTCACCAGTGGCGTCTCTGCTCGTGCTGAGTTCATCTTTAGTTAATAATCGAGTCGCCAGTAGCGTTTCCTGCTCGTGTTGACTTGTCCTTGGTAGCAGGCTGATCACGCCTTTCAGCAGTATGATGCTGGATAATTTATGTTGCTCGACCTGTCTGGCTCCACTTCAGCCGGATGACGGGCATGACTTGTGTCCCTCCTGCCTCGGTGTGGAACATCTCCGGGAGGCGCTGTCAGATGACGCTTGCCCCAACTGTCGCGTCATGCCCCGGTCGGTCAGACTGGATCGGTTGGCTGCACTGGAGCAGCCTACCGACTGGGCGGGCGCTTCGCCGCGTGCTCGTTTGCCGATGGAGAAAGCGGTGTGCAAACGATCTACTGTGGCTGCACCTTCGGTACCGACAAAGCGTGCTAGACGGACCGATGCAGGGAGGTTGTCCACCAGAGTGGATCATCTCACTACTGAGCTGGCCCAAATGAAAGCCCTCCTCCAGTCCTTTCAGACTGCTGGTGATCGCGGCACGGCTCTCCCTACCGAGCAGGATGAAACGTCAGTCAATGACGACGATGCCGTTTCTGTGGCGGCCTCTGGCACCCATTTCTGTGAGGACCTTCCGGAGCTGGGCTCCGGGGCCTCTGGGTCGGACTCCATTGCCTCCCAGGAGGATGCGGGGGAGTCTGTGACATCCGCTATTCGAACGGCTCTTGCCCGTTTACAGATTAGTGTTCCTCAGGCCCAGCCTGCGGCTTCCAGCGCCTTCTTTAGGCGCAGTAGGTCAGAGACTGCCTTTGTGGTTCCTCCCTCGGCGGAGTATGTGCGGGAACTGCATGCTTGCTGGTCAGACACCAAGGCGTTTTCACGTCTGACGACGGATGGCAGGGTCCTGGCAGCTATGCAGGAGGCACCCAAGGTTGGCTTGGGGCAGATGCCAGCGGTGGAACCGGGCATTGCCTCTCTTATAATCCCGCCTGATGAGGCCTTGCGGCCCAATGCCCGTTGTCCGCGTCCTCAGTGCCGTATTACCGACGACCTTCTCTGTAAGGCCTATGACTCTGGGGCCCGCATGGGCCGGATTGGGAACTCTCTCTCCCATCTTATGCTGGCCCTGTCTTCCTCCTTGGAATCTGTTCCGCTGGATCATGCCACGCAAGGCCTGGTTGATGCATCTCTGCAGGCCTTTGCTCTTATGACGAGGGAACTTGGACGCACACTCCCCACACTGGTTCATGCTCGCCGCCAGGTCTGGTTGGCGCAGTCACCACTAACTGAGCCTTGTAGGAGGACCCTCCGGGCCCTGCCTGTGGTCCCGGGGGAGCTTTTTGGTTCAGCAGCACTGGACGCCTTGGGCCGTACGGCTCAGGCCTCTAGAACGAGGCAACAGCTGGCAGGGCTTCACAGACGTGATCGCCAGCCAGTAAGCACCTGGGCAGCTGCGGGTCCTTCACGGAGGTCTTTAGTGCCTTCTCCTTCTCCCACTGAGCCCCAGGGTCTGTTACCAGGTCAGAGATCGGTCCAGAGACCTGCTCTAGATCGGAGGAACAGAGCTCGAGACCAGGCTGGGACGAGGTCCTTTCATCCCTTTCGAGCCGCGCAGTCTGGCCGGCGTCCTCCCGGGCCTTCGAAGGGCCGGGGGACCCGCAGATGATGCCTTAGGGCCGGCGGTCGGTTATTTTTCCCCGGGACAGCTCAGCTTCTGGGCTGCCCACACCCCGGACTTGTGGGTGTTGTCCACCCTGTCCCGGGGGTACCGTCTTCAATTCCGCCGCCGGCCACCTATCCCTGGCCGGGTCAGGATGACTGTGATCCACGACCCGGTGAAGGCACAGGCACTGAACCAAGAAATCTGCACCTTGCTGGCCAAGGGTGCTATAGTGCCTGTGGACCCCCTGCTGGATCCAGCGGGCTTTTATTCCACGTATTTTCTGGTTCCGAAGAAGACCGGGGGCTTGCGTCCAGTCTTGGACCTCAGAGGCCTGAATGTGTACTTGAAGGCCATGCCCTTTCATATGCTGACCACCAAGGAAGTGTTGCAGGCGATTTCCCCGGGCGATTGGTTCACTTCCATAGATCTCAGGGATGCTTATTTTCACTTTCCGATCGCTCCGCCCCATTGGCGGTTTCTTCGTTTTGCTTTTCAAGGGAGGCATTTCCAGTTCAGGGTCCTCCCGTTCGGACTTTCGCTGTCCCCCAGGGTGTTCACCCGATGTGTTGCAGCGGCCCTCTCTCCTCTGCAGGCACAGGGATTGAGGATCCTCCCATATCTGGACGACTGGCTCATTTGTGCTGCGACGTGGGACCAGGCGGTTCGAGATACTCGGTTAGTGCTCCATCATGTGGGATGCTTGGGCTTGCAGGTGAACATGGAGAAAAGCAGTCTGACCCCCTCACAGGAGACTGTCTTCCTGGGCATTGCCATGGATTCCATCTCAATGACTGCTTGCCCGTCACCCCAGCGGGTGGACAGTATATTGAGCGTGCTCCCGGAATTCAGGCGCGGCATGGCGCTGCCTCTTGTGCGGTATCTTCGACTCTTGGGCATGCTTACAGCTGCGTCCGCCGTAGTGCCCTTGGGGCTGCTGTCATTGCGGCCCCTCCAGATGTGGTTGAACAGCTTGAATCTGGATCCCACACGGAACACTCATCGTCTCAGAAGACTTCGGGTGGGGCCTCAGTGTCTTCAGTCTCTGTCCCAATGGAGGGTGAGGTTGTTTATGACCACAGGGGTCCCGCTCGGTTCCCTCCCGTGTCGTCGGGAAGTTGTGTTTACAGATGCATCCTCCACGGGCTGGGGTGCAACCTGGCGGGGTCAAATGGCACAGGGGACATGGTCCCAGCGGCAGGGCAGGGAACACATCAATGTCCTGGAGTTACAGGCTGTACTTCTGGCTGTTCAGAGCTTTCTTCCAGGCTTGCGGGGGAAGCACGTGCTGGTGAGGTCAGACAACACCACAGTGGTCTTTCACATCAACCACCAGGGGGGCACGAGGTCAAGGAAACTGTTGTGCTTGACTCGACGGCTTCTGACCTGGGCAGCTCCACGCATAGCCAGCCTCAGAGCAGCCTACATCCCAGGGCCGGAGAACGTGCCAGCAGATTTTCTATCCCGTCAGAAGCCGCTTCCAGGGGAGTGGAAGCTTCACCAAGAGGTGGTGGAGTGCATCTGGAAGGTCTTTGGCAGGGCGGACGTGGACCTCTTTGCCTCAAGGGACGCATTTCACTGTCCCCTTTGGTTCTCGTTGGACAACAGCAGCCCTCTGGGCCACGATGCTCTGGCACATGACTGGCCCCGGACCCTCCTTTATGCCTTTCCGCCATTCAGCCTACTTTTTCAGACTCTCCTCAGGGTACGTCAGGAGGGGCACAGGGTCCTGCTGGTGGCCCCCTACTGGCCAGCGAGGACTTGGTTTCCTCTACTGTGCGAGCTCAGCTCCGGCTCGCCAATGCGTCTCCCCTCCAGGAGAGACCTTCTTTCTCAGATGGGGGGTCAGATCTTGCACCCCGAACCGGACCGGCTCCAGCTCTGGATTTGGCCCCTGCAAGGCCGGGGTCCACCTTCTCAAGATACACTGGGTCCATAGGGCATACAATGGCTAATGCATGGGCGCCGTCCACGCGAGCTGTCTATGCTAACAAGTGGACGGTCTTTGCGACCTGGTGCCGTGATAGAGGGCAGGACCCGGTGCAGTGCTCAGTTTCTGACATACTGACCTTCCTGCAGGCATTGCTGGATCAAGGACGGTCCCCATCTACCTTAAAGGTGTATGTGGCTGCCATTTCCTGTTGGCATGTTGGGCTGAATGGTTGTTCTGTGGGCCGAGACAAGGATGTTGTACTGTTTTTAAGAGGTGCTCGGCGTTTGCACCCACCCAACCGCCCTGTGGCACCGGCGTGGGACCTTTCTCTTGTGCTCGAGGCTCTTCGGTCCCTCCCATTTGAGCCCCTGGCGTCGGCGGACCTCAAATGGCTCTCACTGAAGACTGCGTTCCTTTTAGCTATGGTTTCCGCAAAACGTGTAGGGGAGTTACAGGCTCTCTCGATAGCCGAACCCTGCTGCCGGTGGAATCCTGATGGCTCAGGCATTACACTGTGGGCTGACGTAGCATTTATTCCTAAGGTATCACTGCCAGCAGGCAGCACCCAGCCTCTCCATCTTGCCCGGTTTGACTCCGGAAGTCCCTCTGAACCACTGTGTCCTGTCCGTGCCCTTGAGACATACATCAATGCCACGGCATCCTTCCGAAAGACAAATAGCCTTTTTGTTTGCTACGCTGGCTCACGGAAGGGTCAGGCACTTTCTAAGCAGCGACTTGCACACTGGGTTGTGGATTTGATCTCCAAGGCTTATGCCTTGCAGGACCGGCCACTGCCGGCGGGAGTGAAATGCCACTCTACAAGGGGCATGTCGACATCGTTTGCTGCTATGACTGGGGTGCCATTGGATGTTATATGCCGTGCGGCCTCCTGGAAGTCACCTAGTACCTTTACTCGGTTCTACAGGGTGAATGTGGCTGCGCCCCATCCGCTTCAGGGAATCCGAGCAGCATGCCTCTACATCACATTAGGTGGGTGGTGTAGTCGTTGTTCCTTGAATGTTGCTGATTCCTCGTGACCTTGTTGATATGAGTCATCCAGTGCTTGAAGCACCGCCTCTGGCGGTCAGTAGGGATGAAATAGAACGAAAGTTACTACCGTAACTACGGTTCTATGAATCCCGGATGACCGCCAGAGTGCTTGGTCCCTCGGAATCTCTGCTTTCGCGAGAAGATTGAGGGATTGATTGCCGGGTGCCACGTGACTATATAGAGTCACGTGGGTCCCCGGCAGGTCACAGCTGACTTTGTTGTCATTAATACTCGACCTGCGCATGCGCATGAATGATCATTCAGTGCTTGAAGCACCGCCTCTGGCGGTCATCCGGGATTCATAGAACCGTAGTTACGGTAGTAACTTTCGTTTTCCTTTTCCGTGTTCATCACCAACACCGAAGAGGTGCTTAAACAAACTCCAGCTGTGGCAGGGCTTCAGGGGTGGATAAGATCTACTGAGTACAGCAGGTCTCGGACGGAGTGGTGCTGATGTGGTCGACATGCCTCTTCAGCATCGCATGGCTTAGGGGAAGCCGGTCCAGGAGTATGGAGCCTGTGGCCCTTTACCAGGGGCCATCTAGTATCTGTACAAGTGGAGGAGGAGTTTAGTCTAGATTGTCGACATTAAATTGGACTCAGACAGGGCTGCCGTTGTCTCCGATTCTGTTCACAACCTGTATGGACAGGATTTCTAGGCCAAGCCAAGGACATGAAAGGGGTCTTGTACCAGCGGATTTCATGGATGCTTTTTGTAGAGGATGTGGTTCTCCTGGCTCCCTCCTGCTATAACCTACAACATGATGACGATCAGCTGCTCTAAGTCCTAGGCCCTGGTTCCCAAGCCTCAAAAAAGTGGCTTGTCCCCTTCAGGTCAGAGGGGTTTGAGTATCTTGGGGTCCTGTTCACAAGTGAAGGCAGAATTGGAAAAATCGAGAGAGGAGAGAGGAATCAATGCGGCTTCAGCCGTAATGTGGACGCTGCACCAGTCTATTGAGGTGTAGAGAGAGCTGAGCCAAAAGGTGAAGCTCTTAATTCACCGGTTGGTCTACAATTCTGCCCTCACCTGTGGTCATAAAATCTGGACCATGACCTCAATGAGCTTCCTTCTAAGGTTTGTCAAAGAAAAGGAAGTCTGGGAGTCTCTGCTGACACTGCTGCCGCCACAATCCGGTCCTGAATAATTGTAAGGCGACAAGTATGAGTACAGGATAAAATGTTACTTCATTTAGGGCCAAAATCATCTTTCAAACACTAAGCCAGTTAGTTTTTAGAACAGATTAGTCAGATTTAAGCCATTCTTGATCTTCTGTTTCAAAATAAATATCCCTCATTACAGCAAATATCTTTTCTTTATCTGTGATCTTAAACCAGAGATTTCATAATATCTAACATCATTACAGCCACACAGGAGCTACGCAAATTTAACATCGGCTTTTTTAAAATAAATTATCGTCTGGTCTGAGGTAATAATAGCTCATGCCCATATATGGTCTCTTGATACTCACTGATTTACAACGGCATGCCTGAATTCTATTATAACTTAAACGTCTTTTGGCTGGTTTCTACCTGAAAATAAAAGTTCGATACAAACCAGTTCTGGAAATCAGTCGGTATTTGAATTCTTGAACCAGCGTTTGCTGATCTCAGCCAGATATTATCCCATAAGGGAAGACCTGAATACCCTCTTGAACATAAGTCTGTTTAAGTGTGTGGTTTGCAGTGCCTCTGAGCTTTTAAAGCCTGCTTTCTTGGCACAGTCTTTAGTAAATCTATTTTGTTTCCACTTGAGGGTAGTCTGGTTCTAGTGGGGGCCTCTCTATCTTTAACTTTCCCTTCCTCTCTGTGTAAACACGGGTCGATTATGGAAGCATTAAATCACCTGGTAATTAACAGGCAATGAAACAGGAGGCAGGGGAGACAGTTATGTAGCAGAGCAGGAAGTGCGGAAAGACGTGTGATGTTAAATATTCATCATCCAACCTTAAAGTGGAAATCATACAAAACAGACAACTCTGGTTATTTAATAACCTTTTACAAAAGGGTTAGTATTTTAAGGCAGTATTGTGTTTTATTTCTTTCCCCTCTGTTAATCTTCTGAAAACTTAGATGTCCTTTCATTTTTCTCAAGCCTTGGCCGGTGTTGAAGCCACCCAGGTGGCTCAGGATGCAGTGCAGGGTCTGGAGGCCAGGTTGGCTGCGTTAAAAGAAGGGATCGTAGACATGCATACAGCAGAAGGGGCAGTGGAGCGAGCCCAGGTGGGTACCCTCGATAATGAAGCTGAAATGCAGAGTTTGTTGAAAACAATAAATTGCATCTTTGTTTTCTTAATTTCATGTTTTTCTATTTATTTATTTATTTATTTATTTTTTATTCTCTTCTAATGATTATGTTATAGAATGTATAAACAAGTAAGCTGCAGATTTGCAGGTTTTATATGCTGACATGACTGAAATCTGCAGATATTTTTTTGCAGTTTTGTTTTACTCTGTGAGTAACCAGTACATCACTTAAGCGTCATTGTTTGCCTGTCCTGTGGTTACCTTCACACAATAGGTCTTCTTATCACAGTTTTAAATTGCGCAACAGGTAAAGGGTGTGTGTGTGTGTGAACGTGCCTCTTATGCTTTTTTTTTTCACATAAACATATGTTTTGTAATGTGTGTGTTTTTGCATTCTGAACATTCGTCTCCTCCCCCATTGTCAGTGGAATGTGGCTCAGTCTGCACTCTTGTTGTTGTGGCAGATAGGACGGCGTGCATGGGAGAGGTGGGGAGGGGTGGGGAGGTGACACATTCTGGGCTGCGTGCCTGTGCATGAAGCACACAGCTCCATGTGGAGCCTGCCAGACGCAACATACAGGCTAATGACAGCATCGCAGAGATCATTCAGCTGTTCGTCTGAGAGGAGATGTCAATGATTATTAGAACTTTTTTTTTTTTTTATTCACATTTGTTTCTACACGTGTTGTTAATTAAGCATTTCTAAAACAATTACTGAAAATTAAACACATTTGTTTTTCCTTTTGTGACATTTTTTAAATCATGCTTTCAGATTTTATGAGTCAGTTTTTACAATACGTTGAAAATCTAGGCTCATAAATCTATCTCACACCGAATAAAATTGCAGGAAGAACAAAGACGTGAGTTTAGTGATTAAGGAATCTAAGAATGTAATCACTTATAGCATTATTTCCGATAAAGCAGATAAATGTTTCAGAAATTCTGTCTTTTACTACCATTTTTAGAACTGCTAAATTTAGGAGAGTATTATGAATATCTTTTAACTTGGAAAAATTGATTAAAGAAGGGTTGTAAATCCTGGTTTGAATTAGGGCGGAAAAAAGTCCAGTGAGAGCATATAAAAGTAGTTTAACTTGAAGACTTCCTTACTTCCTTACTTACTTACTTATACTAATTGTAGAAATATCTGCCATAGATTTATGATGGTCTTTAGTGTTTTATATATTGAATAAATGTTTAAGATCTTAGGAATATCAAAAGTTATGTATTTCTCATGAAAACAAGCAGGAACGCCATCCATTCAGCATTTTTTCTAGTTTTGGAACCATTTTTAAATGTCCTGACTGATCTTTTGTACATTTTTCAGGGCCTGTGTTTGGAAATTGAACAAACACAACAAGCAACCGATCCGGCTGAACTACAGAAATGGAGCCAGCTCTCATCAAGGGCTCGTGAGGAGCATGGCATGCTGCAGTGCATTCTGGGAAGCATGAAGGACAACCAGGTAGATAAGCTGGTTTATTGCTCTTGGTGTTTTTATTTTTTCCTCCATGTATAGATGTGTTTTTACCTCTTTGATTTCAGGTACGTTTAGAGCAAGTGGAGCGTTGGCTGGATGCCGTGCAGGAGCTGTTGTCTAAGGACGCCTCCGGCCTGGGTGATGCAGAGAATCTGCAGGCAGAACTTAATCAGTGCAAGGTATATAGATAATAAATAGAATAAACAATTTCCTTTTGATTTTTACAACTGATTTATCAAACTAGGATCTATTGTCAGTTTCTGTCCATTTGTTTAAACAATGTATATTTCTAGCCTTACTGGTCAGTAGATGTATAGAAGGAACTTGACACCATTATGAGGGCACACACTGTAAAACAAAAAACACTAATATTGTTAAGCAAAGGCTATTTTTGCCCAATTTATTCATGGATAATTTGTTTATAGACATCTCTGTAAACCCTTTTCTTTTCTCTGAACTAGGAGTATGTGAGTGAGATGGAGCAGATGAAACGTTCACTAATGCAGATGGAAGAAAATGTAAAGTCTGTGCAGGCATCAGCAGTCCCAGGACTGGCCCTGTGGGGGCAGGATAAGTTGGACCAGTGTGAAGGAAGATGGACCAAACTTAGTCAAGAGGTGACAAATAAACTAAACCTGCAAATTTCCATTGAAAAAGTACCTGATTAGTATTTCTTTTTTTATTTTCACTATTTATTTTCGGATGTGAATATATTCTCATCGGATTAAAGTAATATTTTGAAATGTTTTTGTTTTTTTTTGGCTGTCTGACATACCATCATACATGTCAGTAAATCAAATATTAGACAAATTAACTTTTTCAGTAATTCACAAAAAATGGAAGGTTATGTTTCTGGGTAATAAAAGTTTGGTTTATTGCACATTTATTGAAATTAAAATTTGAGCTGTGATTACTTAGGATATCATCTTTTAAAAACTCTGAACAAAAATGTTGCGTAACACTAATTCAGATGGAGTTTTGTAATTCCTGTATCCACCCATCCACAGAAGGGCAGTTCAATTCAATTCAGTTTATTTATATAGCCCCAATTTACAACACATGTCATTTCTTGGCACTTTACAATTAAACCAGATCATACAGTCAAATTCGAAGTTTTCTATCTAAGGAAAACCAGTTCATTGCATCGAGTCAATGACTCTGCAATCCCTCACACCAAGCAAGCATGCAATGACAATGGAGAGGAAAACTCCCTTCAGCACTACCAGTGTGAGCCATGTGGGCAAGTCATCAAGAGTCATTGCTACGGAAACTGGCTATATGCAAGAAAATAGTAAGATAATAATAATAGAAAGTTAAGTGGAAGTAAAAAAAGATGTGGTATAAAAAATTACCAAAATTATATAACCAAAAGAAAATCCAACTAGAGCTTCTATAAGAAATTTGTGAAACACAGACAGGAATAAAAGAACAAACGCATATTTTGATAAAACATAACCCTAAAAACATTAATGCCGATACAGGAACTTCATTTTTTAAAACTTTTTTAGGGGGGCCACATGCCGAAGGCATGGCCCACCTATTACTATTGCACATATTTATTCCGCGTATTATTATTATTAGGGGGGCCACATGCCGAAGGCATGGCCCACCTATTACTATTGCACATATTTATTCCGCGTATTATTATTAGGGGGGCCACATGCCGAAGGCATGGCCCACCTATTACTATTGCACATATTTATTCCGCGTATTATTATTATTATTAGGGGGGCCACATGCCGAAGGCATGGCCCACCTATTACTATTGCACATATTTATTAGGGGGGCCACATGCCGAAGGCATGGCCCACCTACTACTATCTCACATATTTATTCCGCGTATTATTTTTATTATAGCTTATAGTTCTCCTCGCCACCAAAAACTTCGGCGCGTAACTAGTCACGCACCATTCGTCGGATCGGGTCCAAAGTTGGAACACGCGTCGGGACCAATGGTGCGATGCGTGCTTGTATAAAACTTTCTCATTAGTCCGAAGGTTCGCGAATTATTAGCGAAAACGTCGCAAAAAAAATCCCATAGGAAATGAATGGGGAGAGGAAAAAAACAGCATAAAAAACAGCGCTTCACTGTGTTGGCATACATTCACGTAGAAAAACAGTTTAAAGCTCAGTTTGTAGATAAATCCTTCGTCTGCATAAAACTGAAGACGGCATGTTGATAACTGCTACGGTTTTTGTATAATCAGACCTCAAGCGCCACAAAGTTTTGGCAAAATCCAGCCTTCTAGAGTGGAGAGACTGAAAAGCTAGAGTGTGAGGCAGCCGTTTTTTTAAGACCCAAAAACATTTTAAACTCGCCCTCACGGCCACATATTTATAGCTAGAGTCACCATTTTTGGTCAGTTTTTAGACTGAAATCTCTGGACCCACACAATGTCTTCGGAATTACGGTAGGATTAATACTTTTCCTTAAAAACCCTCCAGACCGACCTCAAGTCGATGAAAATCAGAGCCGTTTTTCATTGGTTTTGGAACAGCAGAGGGGAGAAAAACGAATGACATTATGTGTTTTAAACTCGTCATAAATATTGTTTTTGAAAGACACACATACACCAAAGCTGCATGTTGGAGTCGAGGATGGCTGACGCTCACGGTGAAGAATTTTTTGGAATAACTCATAGGTTTTTGCTC